GGCTAACAAGCTAATAGCAACTTTCTCTTATTAACATGAACCAACCAATGTGTATAGGAGACTGCAAGAAATAGCTAGACTGCATGCATCATACTACCAAGTCTTGGTACCCTTGTCTTAATTTATCTTTTTTTATTAACTTTTGTTGTGTATGATGCCAACTTGATTAAGAGTGGAACCATATGTTAAAGAATTATTTTATTAGTTTTCTTTAGACAAATTTATTAGTTAGGTGACGGCAAATCAAATGATGGCAGGCAGCAATACGGGCTAAATGTAGTCCATTAGCCCACTAATTTCCCCCACCTAGGTAGGTTACTACATACAACTTAAGTTAGTTCCCTCATAATAAAATATATGAATATAAAGCCTTCACTATGTTATTGTTGTGGCAGCTAACAACTTTCTCTTATTAACATGAACCAACCAATGTAGAGAGGAGACTTCAAGAAATAGCTAGACCACGAAGTCTTGGTACCCTTGTCTTAATTTATCTTTTGTTATGTTTGTTATATATGATGCATATTTGGTTAGAGTGAAACCATATGTTAAATAAATGATGTCATTAGGTGATGGCATCATGTGGAGCTGGTGTACATGCATGCATTGAGCAGCAAACCAAGTTAGGACCTGTGGAGTGTATGCACCATCACGGGAGCATCCCAGGTCTCTTTCTTCCATAGCAGTCGCAGATTCTTCTCCCCTTTGGACAATGGTGGGAGGCCGGATAATTTGATAGAGTAGGTTACTGCGAGTCAGGGGCGGACCTACGTAGAACGTAAATAAAAAAAAGAATGGGTGGTTGGGCAGTGTTTCCATTAACTTGGAACTAACCTGCAGTACAACTCAATCACAATCAACAATTAGAGTAGATGTACCTTGTTTTGTCCGGTTCAACAAGCTAAGAGCAGCTAGCAATTCCCTGTCCTACTCCCTGTTGTACTTGACGCGCGCGTGTAAAACTTAAGTGTTGTCATGATACATGTGGCATGTGTACACGTTATATTTCATGTGTGGTACTTATTTTTCATGTTCAAACCTATAGAGCTGCTTTACTCAACAATCAACATCGACCGCTGCTAGTATTAGTAGTACTTCCCAATGGACTGAGAACTTGTCTATATATATGAAGCTATAGCCATGTCCACTTAAGGGTACACCTAATAAGTGTGTAGTACCACATCCCACACCACTGATCACAATGTCAATTCTGCTCTCTCAAGAGCTGCTCATCTCCACAGTACTAGTGGTACTTGGTTCCCTGTACTGCTTGTACTTGAGGGCTAGTTCTAGATCAAAGAACCAATCAGTGCTCCCCACAAATTGGCCAATACTCCACATGTTCCCTTCCTTTGTCTCCAACCTCCACAACTTGCATGACTATTTCACCCTAGTCCTTGCTGGATCCGGCCATAGCTTCAGGGCGCATGGCCCTCCTGGCACCAGGATGCGGTTCTTCATCACATGCGACCCTGCCAATGTCCGACACATCTTCACAACCAATTACGCCAACTTCCCCAAGGGCACGAGGTTTGCCGATACATTCGACATCATGGACGGCAGCCTCTTCACCATTGATGGTGAACCGTGGCGTCGGCAGCGCGCCAAAGTCAAGGGCTTGCTTGGTAGCCCGCGACTAGTAGCCAATATGGTGGCTTGCTGCTGTAGCAAGGTGGAGAATGACCTCCTCCTTTTGTTTAGCCACATGTCAAGCACAGACACTCCATTTGACATGCAACATCTGATGTCTAGGTTAATGTTTGACCTGGCTGCTATGCCTCTCTTCGGCGTTGATCCTGGCCTCCTATCATCGGAAATGCCACCCATGGATGTTGCGGTTGCCATGGACACAGTCATGGAGGTGGGATGTTTTCGGCACATGATGCCGTCTTTTTTCTGGAAACTGATGAGGTGGTTAAACATTGGTCCTGAGCGAAAGCTCAATGCGGCGCACACACTGCTACGAAGGTTCATCAAGGAGATGATGGAGAGGAGGAAGATCAAGACGGGGCAAGTTAATAATGATGATGAAGAAGAGGGTGTGGATATTGTATCTTCCTTCCTCGATGACCCATACTACGCTAATGATGACTTGTTTCGTGCTATCATCATTGGTTACATGCTCGCTGCAAGGGACACAGTTGGAACGGCCCTGACATGGATCTTCTACTGCCTCGCCCAGAACCCTAACATTGTGTCAATCATGCGCAATGAACTCTCACCGATTGCATCACACAAAGTAGTAGCTGGTGTTGGCACTATGGTGATATTTGAGCCGGCTGAGACCAAATCTTTAGCCTATGTTAGGGCTGTGTTGTATGAGACTCTCAGGTTGTACCCGCCGGCACCTACTGAGCTCAAGACGGTGGTCGCCGACGATACAATGCCGAGTGGCCATGAGGTGCATGCCGGCGATGCCATCTTTATTTCTCTCCGTTCCATGGGGAGAATGGAAGGCATATGGGGTAAGGACTGTCTCGACTATAACCCAGATAGGTGGCTCTCGAAGGATCGCAACAGTCTGAGGTATGTACCATCTCACAAGTTCTTGGCCTTCAACTCAGGGCCAAGGATGTGCCTCGGTAAGGACATCGCGGTCATGCAGATGATGACGGTCGTCGCCTCAACACTATGGAACTTTGATGTGCATCTATTGGAAGGGCAAAGCATCGAGCCCAAGGCATCTTGTATACTAGAGATGAAAAACGGGCTTATGGTTAAGCTGAAGAAGCGAGACGTGTAATATTAGACTCTTTATTTGTATGTAAACGTACTTACCAACCATCATGACAGTTTTACACTGCCCACGGTCACATTATTATCGGATAATAAAGGCATCCATGCATCACAGTTTATCTTTCTTTTAGAGAAAAACATCCAACCGTGCTGACATTTATTACTTTGTTGTATGAGACATGATATGAAGGCATCGAGACATGGTTTTTTCCTCCAACGATCGCCTTCTTATTAAGTACCAGTTAACCAACCATGATGGTGATTAGTTACACTATTTGATAAGTAAAGGGGAGCATATGTTCCTGCTAGGTTATTAGTTACACTATTGGAAAAAAATGAAATGAGGTGTACAATTTGTCGCCAACTGATGCATCCTACTCCTACCTGAGTAATAAGCTAGATTACCTAGTCAAGGATACAAACATTTATGGTGATGTACCGAACCATGGTTACAACTATATCTTTAATTAGGCTTTTTGAACATTCATACCTTACCCACTTGGACTTACATTAAGATCAAATTGCATAATAACTCTCATGCCAATCGGCGTATTGTTCTCGTTGGCAATTAGATGATCGCTAGTTCCTGTTTATTGAGCAGTGCTTTTACGTGCCGGCATGGTCGTCCGGCCTCTCCTCGGTCGCTGGAAGCAATCGCCACCAGGTCAAGTCAGCTTTCATTCACCTGCCTGCCAAGTGCTAGTGTTTATGCCCATAAGGTTCATTCCACTGCGACCTATCTAGCTCGAGTACTATAGACAGTGACCAGCCAAACACTGGGTTTCACAATCAAAATTATGGAATAAACGAGACTATATGGGTCAAAATACTCATATATTAATGTTATAAAATGTTTGCATCCACTGCTACGTTATTGTCAGTACCACCAGGTGTTCATGCATTCTAATTTATGATGGCTTGCTGTTGAGGTGTTCTTGTGCTTCTGGTGGCTTTCTGCTACTTTGCTATCGGTACCACTTTTGTTTATATTTCTCCAAAGCTCATGAAGACTTGATGGTGTATCTGGAAAGTTCGGTTTTGATATTCAAAAGGTTAACATGGCATAATTGTGGAAAGCAGTCAGTTTTCAGTGTTTTGCTACTGATAAGGTTTGCAGTTTTCAATCCAGTCTACATTCTACTGATACCAGGTATACTTGCAACCGACAAGATTTGGAGTTTCTCAGCTCAGTCTACATCCTACTAATACCATATATTCTTCCATTCATCATAACTGTTGTTGTTTATTTTAATGGCGTGCAGGATCTTCACAGGAATAGCCAGCATACCAGCTGCCTTGCAGACCCTGTAGACAGTTCAGATCATATGGAGCAGTAGCAGTCCAAAGGTAATGCATTGCGGGGAGTTTGCAGTTTTGAAATTTCAGAAAGGCGTCAAGATGCATGATTGCAACCTATTCAATATGTTTTCAGTTTTGAGCTATAGAAGATTGCATATTTACTATTTTTGAGCTACAACAGTTTCCGGTGTTCGATCTTTCCAATCTCCTATACTGAATAGGGGCATACAGTTTTCCGTGTTCTGTGATTTCTTTTTTACTGTTCCCATCACTGCCGAATACAGGTAAAGCAATTTGTTCTGATCAAGTCCACAGTGAATCAGGACGTTGATTAATGCCTAACTAGTGATTCACTTGCCGCTCAACTGTTTACATCATGTGAAACTTGCCTGACTAGTGATGGAACTGTAAGTGCCTCGCTCTGACTGACTGATCTTTTACATATTTCAGTCGGATATCATGCATGTACTGTTGATAGCTAGCCTCAATTATGATGTTGCTTCGTTTTGTAGATCCATCACTCAAGGATCTCCAAGCTGCACACCTCCAATAATGTTGCCGGTGTCACGGCTCTCCACAGTGCTGAAATTGTTGAGAGGAATGTCCTGAAGAAACTCAGGTTGCAATCATGGGCCATACTAAAATACAGTTTCCATGTAAGAATTATTACGGTAAGTTTACAAGACCTTGTTATTAACGAAATAATAGAGTGTGCTGCCGTGCTGGAGAGATAGCTTATGTCAGTTACAACCAAATAACTAACTTTTATGTTTCTGCAGTATGGATTGAACCAGTAATAGCCTGAATCAGGGAAAAGGGCCAAAGTTGGATTCCTGAATCGGGTATGTTTCTTCACCTGTTCAAACTTCAAACTGTTCTTCATCATCAGTTCACATGATCACGATTAGCTACTGTTTTGGGGGAAAAAGTAGAGATACGATAGTACAGCAAATATGAAGCGCACAATGATATGATACTACGTTTAACCCTACAGGTTCACAATGATCTTGCTTGCGTGGAAGGAACATTTTTTCCTGCATGGTAATAAGGCCCCAGCGAACTTCAACTCTGCGAAATTCAACTGCAAGGAAGAAGAACAAGCGTAGCCTGCAGCTACGTACTCCCTCCGTTCCAAAATAGATGACTCAACTTTGTACTAACATTAGTATAAAGTTGAGTCATCTATTTTGGAACGGAGGGAGTATATCTGAAGCTCGTCAGCCTTGTGATGTCACTCAGAAATTGCTGCGATGAGTACATCATTCAGTTCATACCGCGTGTGCGATGGTTAGTATTTCGGTCATTCAGCTTTAGTGTAGCACAAAATATTCTGAGCCTGACCGGCAGAACCGTACCGATTACTTACACTTCTCCCTCCTTTTCAGGAACAACCAGACTGCAGCATCTTCTGGTGTGTCCTTGATCTGCTATATGTTTCTCTTGCGGTCATCCTCTGAATTCACCTAGCTGCTTGGTGGTGTGATGTGTGAGTGGTTTAGTTTTGTGAAGTACTGTACGTAGTTTGGTCTTGTCACTCCTTCCTTTGCTGCTGCTTAATTTGCCTGACAGATGTGAACATTGAACGCAGGGTACCTTGCCTGCCTGTCTGTTGGTGAAATAAATGGCCAGCTTCTTCTTCTCAGCATAAGAAAGAATGTTGCTCATCCAATCTGGCTTGCTTGAGGTCCTGGCCTTCAGTTGTATTCTGGAAATCCTGTTCTGCGCTCCTGTATATTGGAGCACACAGTGTCGATCATCGCCAAATTAAGGCAGTGAAGTTACAAGATACCATCATCACCAGATTACCAGAGAGGAGAGGAGATGAGCACCATTCACTGGCACTGTGCGCCATCGAGCAGCTCAAGATGCTCTTCAAATGATGAGCCGCTTCTTCGCCATTGACTGTAGGATCTTGTGCTCCAGACAGACTGGGTAGCACCATCTGTTGATCACAGAACCATGGAATTCCAATCCAAGTTTGCCATCCCATATACAACTGAAGGCCAGGACCTTGAAGCAGTTGGTAAACTTGTGATGTGATGTTGTACAGACTCAAGTTTCTGTTTTTCAAGTGTACGTACATACATTCATAAAAAGGCAGGGAGCATATATTATCTATACATAGTTGCACCGAACGTGCTCTGCTATTTACTCTGATTGTCAACTCTGACTAGCTAAGCTAAGATAAGAGGGGCAGGAGATGTGTCACGAGGTCCTTTATTAACAACCCATCAATTATTGATCCTGCCTTCTTCCCTGACGGAATTTTCCCTCGTTTTAATTTCGGGGAAATGTTATACTCCCTCTCTTCCATAATATAAGAACGTTTTTAACACTAGTGTAGTGTAAAAAACGATCTTATATTATGGGATGGAGGAAGTACATAATAAAAAGTATGCGCTATCCAGGGAGGTGCGTCCCTGGCCTATATAACACGCAACAGCGCTCCCATGATGGGTAAGACGCTTTCACCTATTCGCACAGGAACAACTTTCTCTTATTTATATATATATGGACCAACCAATATGTAGAGGTGGCTGCAAAAGATAGCAAGACTGGATGTATCAGACAAACCTAGTCTTGGTTCCCATGTCTTAATTTATCTTTTGTTATTTTACTTTATTGTCCATTATAGATGATGCCAACTTGGTTACAGTGAAACCAACCATATGATAAACAAATGATGTGATTAGGTGATGGTATCGATCAACAAATCAAATGAAGGTCGGCAGCAAATCCTCTTGTTGGTATTGATAAAAAAAATATTTAGGGATGATGAGGGAATGAAATGTATGATTTACATACCCTTCACCCCTGGAGTTTAGGCCCATTTACCAGGACAGCTTGGAGAACCCACCTACCGTAGAGACAAACATATATAGACGACTAGTATTTTTGAAGACTTGAGTGGCGCTCCAGACTTGAATAGCCCATTGAGTGTCTAACCAAAACAGGGTTGGATAACCCAATTGGAGACACATATCTAGAGTAGAGCCAGTTCATCGGAGAAGCCATGGATCTCAAGAACACCACCACCACCACCACGTTAGTCCAGCGCTTGGGCAGCAGTGAAGTTCGGCTGCTCCGCGTAGAACTTCTGGTCCTCTTCAGCACCTTGGCGTGGATCCTCCTCGAGCGGTTCGGCTCATTCCGCCGGCGGTACAGTCACGGCTTCTTCCGCCTCCTCATATGGACGGTGTACACACTATCCACTGTGCTGGCGCCCTACACCGTCGGTCTGCTGCAGGCTGGTCCATTCCGCGACCAGACGTTCGTCCTCTGGGACACCATCCTCCTCCTCATCCAAGTACACTCTGACTCCCTCTCAGTCTACACTCTACAGTATTCAGGATATTGAACAGAGGAAAAAGATGCTAGCGCAGCAAGTGTTGCAGATCTTTCTGGTGCTATGGCTGATCATCAATGGTAGCGGTGGCAACAAGAGTTACAGCGCTACCATATGGATTGTCTATATTCTCAGCATCATCCAGGCATTTAGAAAGTTTGGGCATTTAAGTAAGGCGAGCAAAAAGGGAGGTTTGGTGGAGCATTCTAAAGTGATTGCTGATCACATGGTGAATGAGCATCAGCTAGTAGATCAGGGCATCATTAATCCAAGCACGATGGAGGGGTACAGCTACATATTTCACGGGGAAATGAAACTGTCTTCCCTGCTTCCAGCCGCACCCGAGTACAAAGTTGAATTAA